ACAGAACAGTCTTCCATTTTGCAACACTCCATTTTAAATGACCCCTGGCCCAGTGCAAACGTCTGAGCTTGTGGAGCTTGCTTAGAAATGGCTTCCTCTTTGCACTGTAGAGTTTCAGCTGGCAACGACGGATGGCACGGTGGATTGTGTTCACTGACAATGCTTTCTGGAAGTATTCCTGAACCCATTCTGTTATTTCCTTGACAGTGGCATTCCTGTTTGAGGTGCAGTGACGTTTAAGGGCCCGGAGATCACGAGCATCCAGTAGAGTTTTACGGCCTTGACCCTTACGCACAGCGATTGTTCCAGATTCTCTGAATCTTTTGATGATGTTATGCACGGTTGATGATGATAACTTAAAAGTCTTTGCTATTTTATGCTGGGTAACACCATTCTGGTATTGCTGCATTATCTTTCTGCGCAACAATGGTGGAATTGGTGATCCACTTACCATCTTGGCTTCTGAGAGACACTGACACTCTGAGAAGCTCTTTTTATACCCAATCATGTTGTCAATTGACCTAATTAGTGTTAATTGGTCTTCCAGCTGTTCGTCATATGCTCAATTTCCTTTTTCCAGCCACTTATTGCTACTTGTCCCAACTTTTTTGGGATTTGTTGACACTGTGAAATTTTGAATCAACATATTTTTCCTTTAAAATGTTACATTTACTCAGATTAAACTTTTGATCTGTGTTATATTACGAATAAAATATTGACATTTTCCATCTCCACATCATTGCATTCAGTTTTAATTCACAATTTGTTTAGTGTCCCAACTTTTTTGGAATCCGGTTTGTACATATACAGTAGTCCCTCGCTACTTAGTGGTTCAATTTTTTGCAGATTCACTATATCACAGTTTTTCAAAATAACAAGACACAATTGGCTGATTGATGGATGAGCCATGGGTTGTTTATTTAAAGTAAATTATTTTAAATGATTTTACACCATGTGTGCAGCCCACAAGTGCAGGGGAAACTTCCTCCTGCAGCTGATCAGCTGATCTCCTTCTCTGGTACACACACAATTCTCCTGCTGCAGCAGCTTTTTAACCCTTTACTGTCCAGACACACCGATTGACCTTTGTCTTCCAACTTACAATTCAAAGTATGTCACATCATAAAATCATGATAATCACAAAATACAAAAGTGTTAAATGTTATTTTTAATTATTTTTAGAACTTCTATGTTCAGTTGTTTCAGTGTCATTGATCAAGAAGTTCATTTGTGCTCCGTGCTGCAGAGCTGACGCTGAGTGACATCCTGTGATGTCCTGCTGCACTTCTCTTCTCTACAATTTAAATTTAATCAGTGTAACATTTTAAATAAACAATCCATGCTGCATGGATTGGTTATTTAAAATGTTACACTGATTAAATTTAAATTGTTTGTTTAAGGACAGAGATTTGGAGTAACAGGTGATGAGTGTGATTACAGCCTGACACATGTCATGAGAAAGTTTACTGAACTTTAACTACTGTATCTCTACTTCGTGGTTTTTCACTTATCGTGGTCCCTAACACCCGTGATAAACAAGGGACTACTTTATAAGCCGCGCCTGTGTGTTTACGTTGTAACATGAGTGGCAGCGCAGCTACTGGGAGAGATGTGCAGCTCTTGTAGATCAAGAATCAACCACCAGGTGGACTTTTATAGACTTGATCTTCCTGTTCAACACAGACTGAGTGAACCCTCAGGTCGTCATGACAACTACCTCCTCCTCATGGTTACTCTGCTGAATGGCCCAACACAAACTAGCACATAATGAACACATAAACTAGACTAATCACTAAAACAACAATGATAAACAGCTAACTGTAATGATTAACAATGAACATAAATTTTACCCATAATCCCTCACTGAGGCCATGTGACCAGCAGTCAACCACAATGAAAAGCAGAATGCTACAGTACGTACCGGTAACACACAAGTACGTACAGTAATGTTTTATTTTTCTGAACAGTGTTGGTAACACGGCTTGTACCAAAATAAAATAGATAAAATACAGTAGCCTGCCAGGAAGTCACTGATGGCTAACTTCATCTTCCTCCTTTAAGCTCCTCCGGCTCCATGGAGCACAAGTTGCTGTGCACATGCATGAGACTCCTCTGTCATGGGGAGGGGGGATCCTGTTCTCTCCTGCCCTCCTCGTTTCATGGGTTCAACTGTGACCTGTTTTGGTCATATTATTAATTTTAACCTTTATTTATACAGGTAGTCTCACTGAGTCACGAGGACCCACCCCCCAACAGAGACGTGTGCTGGGCAGCTCTGTGAGCGCCCGGGTGTGACCACGTTAAATGTGTTTGGTGGCAGGAAGCTCAGCAGCTCGTCAAAACAAAACAAACATAAATTAGCCTAAGGGTTCAAAGCCTGTGAAAAAGTAGCAGCTTATAGAACGGAAAGTAGAGTAGCTTGATACAAGAAAGTCTGTCGTCAGAAACTATGTTTTTGTTATGTGTCTGTGTGTGTGCAGATAAAGAACCTACGTGTCACTTCTGTAAGAGGAGTTCGTTACCACAGTACCAGGCCACGCTGCCGGAGGGAAATATCCTCAACTTCTGCAGCTCGCAGTGCGTTACCAAGTTCCAGGTGGGGTCTTCCTCCAACTAAAGGCACACATCAAAATCATATCTGGTCTACTGATGTGTTGTACATTCATTGCTACAACAGAAATTTGATATTCATTGCTTGTAAAATGGTATTGAAGCAAATAAAATGATGAAAAATCATCAAATAATCTTTCTGTTTGGTGTATAGTTAAGAGGAGCTCAACACGTTGCAGGTTTCCTCAATGAACTCCATGATCTGATTAGTTATGTAGCTCCATGTTATACTTGTATCCAGAAGAAAAGAGAAGCAACACCTGTCGGGCACAGAAAGAAGTCTGCAGAAATGTTTCCTCCCTCAGTCAATTGAGCAGATTTTGTTTGTTGATGAACTGTATATTTATGAAAAGTCACCACTTAGTCAAACCTTATTGGTTTTCACTTGATGTCTCTTGTTACAGAACGCTACTTTTCAATCCACCAATGGCCAGACGGGCCTCTCCACCACAACCAGCACCGTCCAGCTGAAGTGCAACTACTGTCGAGGAGCATTCAGTTTGAAGCCTGAAATTCTGGAGTGGGAGGTGAGACAGAATCTTCTTAATTTCTCCTTGAAATGAAACTCAAGTCGTGTTAATGAATATGGGTGTAGAGCACGTGAACTGGGCCAGTAGGGAACAGGCACCAACATCTTCTAGGTTCTGCCAGGATTAATGATGTCACACCAACCGAATACCCAACTGATTATTTTATTGCTTCCCAAACACATTTAGAAACAAACTTTATATAAATGTGAAAATAAAATACAAGAAAAATTAAACGGAGCTCTTTCTTTTATGAAAATAAAATAAAGTTCAGTTCTTTAGCAACGTTGCTACACGGGTAGTGTTGTGTATAGGATCTTGTCTGTAACTCAAGATGGGTTTTCCAGATTGTGAAGGTTCTTCTGTGAAAGGATGTCCCGGCTGGCCACACCGTTTACACCTGTCCACAGTTCGCATGGGCTCAGCTCGCCATCACCATCAAAGAATCCAGAGTCTCTATAAAACCAGTCGGGCTTCCACAGATATCACCCAACAAGCGGTCACCTCGGTCTCTCACTGGGATTTCCACAGATAATTCTCAATGAGTGGTCACTTCTGTCAGTCATAGACAGGTTGTAAGGTCCACAGTTTGGTCGGTCAGTGCACGTGTAAAGAGCATGCCTCAGAATATAAGGAAATATGACCAAACCATGTTGGTTAAATTCAACTCAGCAGAAACTGAGTGCCCTCTGCTGGACCTCCCAGTATCACGACCTAAATTACAGATATGGGCCCAATGTTTCATGTGGGTTACAATGGCATATCAGTTTTGTGGAAATTAATTCAATTCAGTTTATTTCTATAGCACCAAATCACAACAAAGTTGTCTCAGGGACTTTACAGGAACATTCACATAAAAGCCAATTAGTAAAGTTCTCTATCTAAGGAATCCAGCAGACAAGTTGAATCTTGGCTTCGTTGCAGTCTCCCATCCTGAGCAAGCACAGTGGCAACAGTGGAAAGAAAAACTCCCTTTAACAGGAAGAAACCTCCAGCAGAACCAGGCTCAGGACAAGAGACCATCTGCTTTGAGCGGCTGGTTTGAGAGGACAGGAGGCAGCCTCTTCACATACTCTTATAACAGAGGAGGAGGCCTCAGATTTCCACTTTCAAAAACCTATAATGCAACTTTAAGACAAGATTCTCAGCCAGTTTTCACACCTGATGGGAACAGAGGGGCCTCATCTGTGAATTAGAGGAACAAAGACTTTAAGAAACCCTCACTGTTTAGGTGTGAACTGCCAATCTACATACGTGTGTGTCTTATCTCACTCAGCCTTATAACCTGAATCTCTCACTCTCTGCTCTTTGAATTGAGAAAGCTCCTCGGATGAGGAGAGAAACATCTTCTGTTACAAATAAAGTCCAGATGTTTTTGTATTGAACGCTTTTTGAACACAGTCACTGATGGTTTGGGGCCCATGTTATCTGCTGGTGATGGTCCACTGTGTTTTCTAAGGTCCAAGGTCAACGCAGCATCTACCAGGAAGTTTTAGAGACTTCATGCTTTTTGCTGTTGACCAACTTTATGGAGATGCAGATTTCATTTTCCAACAGGACTTGGCACCTGCACACAGTGCCAGAGATACCAGTACCTGGTTTAAGGACCATGGTATCCCTGTTAATTGGCCATCAAACTAGAAAATCTATGGGATATTGTTATGAAGAGGAAGATGTGATACACCAGAGCCAACAATTCAGAAGAGCTGAAGGCCACAATCAGAGCAACCTGGACTCTCAGAACACCTGAGCTGAGCCACACACTGATCCACTCCATGCCACTGAGACACGTCCTGAGCTGTGCAGCGCCCTGTTTGCACCAACAGTTTACAGTTTTGGAGCAGGGCAGAGGAGAGAGACCGACACATCTCAGCCGTGAGCTGTCTGTACTAACAGTTTTCGAGTGGGGTGGGGGTGTCAGCCTGAGGGCTTTAGCTTTTTAGCTAGTGCACCTGTATTGTGAGCTGCTAGTTTAGCATTATGTCAATGCCAACAAAGGGGGGGGGGGGGGGGGGTGTGGGGGGGGGGGGGCGCCCCCTTGTATAATTGTAAGGGAAACACTTGAATCTTCATGTTAGAAACTGAGTTAGATAATGCAAAGTTTGAGTTCTGTAGACTGTTTTATTATTATTTAGTCTTGATTGATGAGCTATAATCAAATATGACAGTAGTAATAAATAAAGATTAATCACAGTTTTCAGTCATAAACAGCAGCAAGAAGAAAATAAAAATCCTACTAACTCATGTAAAAACATTTACACTTGAAATATTCACCCTAAATATTTAAGTCTGGATGGAAGTTCATCAATAAATAAATGCATCAGTCTGTTGCTGCTTTGATCTTTAACAGACTTGCATCAAGTCCTGCACAGTTTTGTTCCTCACACAACGTACAGACTCTGCCAGGAAGCCACTATGATCAGTCAGTAGATTTAACGTTAGTAAAATATGCCTCATATCTACAACATGACAGATGATCACACATTTAGTTTAATGTATTTTACAAAGAGAGCATGATCCCTGTTAGAGCTGCGGACAGTTTGATGCTACAGCGGCTGTTTTCTCTTCACACGCTGCAACATGGACGACGTGCTGTTCTGGTTACTCCAGTTCTGTTTGCACTGGAAGCACTGGGCTGTGTCGTCTCTTCTGTTTAGTCCAACATGTTCCCAAAGTTTTGACAGTTCTTGTTGTTTTCAGGGCTCTTCTTCTACGCAGGATCCGTTCCTGCATAGCTACAAACTTAGCACATACGCGTTAGCAGAAGTGCTAGCAGAAGCGCTAGCGTTGTGTAACACAAAAACCTTCCAGCTAGACCACAGTGCTCTGAATAGTTTAACGAAGCTTCGAGGCAGATTAATTTGCTCGAGGATTTTTGTAATCGAGTGATTCAAGGGATCGTTTCAGCCCGACTGAGGTCTAACAGGACCAGTGTAGACACCTGTCCATTGTCTGAGGCCATGAGAATATCATTAGTGACTTTTACAAGTGCTGTTTCTGTGCTATGATGACTCTAAACCCTGACTGAAACTCTTCAGATTATTTCTTTCAGATGTTCACACGGCTGACCTGCATCAACATAATAAAGCTCCAGTTGAAATTGTTACATGTTGTCGATTCGATCTGATCTTTTTCTGACACATATTACAAGATGAATGTGGAAGAAGCGTCTTACATTCATGAAACGTGTGTGTTTTTAGGACAAAGTTTTCCAGTTCTGCAGTAAGACATGCTGTGAAGACTATAAGAAACTCCACTGCATTGTGACGTTTTGTGAGAACTGCCAGGAAGAAAAGACGCTTCATGAGATGGTCAGGTTCTCTGGTGACAAGAAACCGTTCTGCAGTGAAGGTACTTTATTTAGCCTCTTTTCAAGATCACCTAATATGTGACAAAGACATGTCATAATTATTATTGTTTTCTGTCCTATGTTTTCCCCTGTATTTATTTCTATTTTTTGTCTCTTGAGGTTGTAAGTTGTTGTTTAAGCAGGATTTTATCAGGCTGCTGGGTCTGAAGTGTGTGAGCTGTAACCACTGCAACCAGCTCTGTAAGAGAGGAGTGACCCGGGAGCTCGGCAGCATGACCCGGGACTTCTGCAGCGAGACGTGTGCCAAGAAGTTCAACGACTGGTACTATAAGGTGGGTTCTTGGTTTGAATTGATCGCAGTGTTCATGTCCTGAAGGCTGTGGTCCATGTTCTGTGGTCGTCTTCTTTTGGCCACCAGGCAGCAAGATGTGACTGCTGTAACGTGCAGGGGAACCTGACAGAGTCTGTGATGTGGAGAACAGAGATGAAGCAATTCTGTGACCAGGAGTGTCTGCTGAGGTTCTACCTTCAGCAGAACGAGCCCATCATGGTCACACAGAAAGGACCTGAGAACTCCACGTTGGGTACGAACTGAGCACATGTTCTCTGAGATTAACTGAAGTCTTGCTCTGTTGCAGCACATTTCAATGTGAAATGTTTTAGTTTGTCGGAGAACTGTCTTAATTTGATGTAGTGTGATTTTAAAACAAGCATGTTGGTTTTGTTGACTGTGAGGTTTAGAGCAGCATCGGTGTTCTCTGTGGACGTCGTAGCACTCGCCCACTTTGGTTCAGCTCTGGTAAAACATCTGAGCTCTGAGGGCCAACAGCCTCGAACAGTTAAAGGACCCGGCCAACTCGAACCAAACACTCAGCGTGCAGTCGTGTTCGTTTTCACACATACCTGTCATAGTCCATGAGACACCGTGCAGAGCTTCAGGGAAACTCCTCCCACTGCAGTTTGTTACCACACGGGTTCTTTCTGCCGGCGTCTCCACTCTGTCCCTGCGTCCTCCGTTTGTCCACAAATCTGTTTGAAGAAAGCGCCACACTTTTCAGGAGGCAGGCTCCTCCGTACGCCATGCCTGCATGAGCTCCATCTAGTTTTTGGCCTTTAACCATCTTGGTGTGTCTTGAAGAGTCATGCAGATGTATGTCCAAGCACTTTTCTACATAAACAAATGCACCCACAAACCTCTGAGCAGTCACACAGTACTTTGAGCCTCCTCTTGTTAGAAAGGGCTCGGCCTGGGCCTTGTGTTGAGAAGGCTCAGGCCTGAACACACTGGATTTTATCATTTCAAACTACTATGAGAACTAAAGGACGCTGAATGAGAGCTGATTTTGCAGCTTGGGCTGGAGTACACAGGACCCTTAAGGTGCTTTCGGGCGAAGCCGTTGTAAGGACAGTTGGCTTAGCACTGCCAGGAGAACGCTGTGCTGTTGCAAGCTTGTTCTTTAGCAATGCAAGTGCAGTTTGAATTGTGCTTTTGTTGGAAGAGTGTTCAGCTTGTGTTTCTGTGTGGACCAACATCTTATGTCATTTGAAAGTCCCTAATGAGCCAAACAAGGATCTACTTTAAAGCAGGAGTTTACACCTTCACTCTAAAGCCAGTTAACACGTGAATAATCTCTGGATAGAGACACGATGTCCCAAACATCAAGTGGCATTTCTAAAAACCTCCACTCTGAGTTTGGATTAAAAATAACAGTGGAAATGCTTTGGTTTCACTCAAAAACTAATTGTGCAAACAGGACCTAAATTTTATAAAGAAGTTGTGATGGGAGCTGCAGACAGCCCAGTACCACCAGCACAAACACAAACAAGGAAAACTACCTTAAATGGTAATAAGCAGTGTTTAATTTGAGCCGGATCCTGCCCCAGCGAGATCAGGGCACTCTTATTTTGACGGGGTGCGTTCTGTCAACTCTCAGGCTGACTGATAATAAAGTTCTGAACAAACATGGCTTATCGTTTGAGGAGGAGCCGTGCTTGAACCGTGTCGCTCCGCTCTGCCACCGAGACGATAAATAAATAACTCCGACACCTCCACTGCTTTATGACGCTCTGGACGCTCGTCACCCGCAGCAACAAAGAGTCGGCTCGAAGCGAGACGACACCTGCCCCCTGATGAAGCCTTCTGGATGGAAGGTGAAACGTTTCAGCACAATAAAAGAAACTGTCCAGATGAGCTGACGTGTTGGATTGTACACCTGGATTATTGAACGTGGACTTTGTTGACACCTGCCCGTCTTTTCCTCTTTCACTTTAATGAGACTTTTTTAGTTTGTCAAAGCACAATTTTTTTTATTTTTGTAGATACAGAAGTAATGTTTAATAAATGTTAAGACTATTCTTTGCTAACAAAATATATTTTGTCATTACACAACTTGTCAGGTTCTTGTCTTGTGAGCATGCGTGTTCCCCAGGACACCCACCCAGCCGGCCCGTCTGCTGGGCTCAGTTGACACAGTCAGCCCTGGTCATAAGGACAGAGATGTGCAAACAGTCCATGTGTGAAACTTTTTGTCTCATCTTGACCAAATTTTCATGAAAGAAACTCTTTTCCCTCAGGGTTAGAGGAGCAAGCCGCCAAACTCGGGGTAAGTAAGAATCCTGCACCAAATATTCAGAGATTCAAATATTCTTTATTGTCATTCGCACACATGTGGTGGAACAAAATTATATATATAATTATTATTATTATATATTTGTTCTTAGAATGTAATGATTGTTTACTGTACAAATGTTGGGATAGATTTAAAGTTTACAGCGGTTACACATGTTCTTCCCCCTAACTGCAGTCTGTGGCATCGTTTGCTGCGTTTCAGCAGGTGAACCAGAGCGCTGGGGCTTTGGTCAGGGATGTGAAGAACAAGGCGGTGCTCTGCAAGCCGCTCACACTAACCAAAGCCACCTACTGCAAACCACACATGCAGAGCAAACTTCTACAGACTGGTAAAGATGGCATGACACTTTAAACATTCTAATGACTGGAACAGTTTGACTTTAGCTCTTGTTGTTTTTATATTTCTGCATCATTAAATGAGCATTTCTCATGTAAGGGAAGCAGGAAACATTTTAAATGAATCAACAATGTTCTGTAAAAAGCTGAAGTTGTGCAGATGCCGACACGTTGCACACAGTCAAAGGTTGTGACTTTGTGTTTGTCCACAGATGTAGATGATGGTGTAAAGAGGGAGTATGTTCCAGTACCTGTGCCTGTTCCTGTTTTTATCCCCATGCCTATGAATATGTATTCCCAGCTCACTCCCACTCCAGTTGCTCTGCCTGTACCGGTAAGATGTGTTCTGGTTGTATCAACACCTGCAGCGTGACAGGCAGGTAGAATTGATGTTATCTGTGGGTATTTAAGAAATCTAGCCAAGGTTAGGAGGACAGCGCTTTTTTCGTCTTCAGAGGTTTGAATGTTTGAGCACAGTTGATTTTGTCCCTTCCAGGTTCCTGTGCCTGTGTTTTTGCCCACCACCCTGCAGGGGGCAGAGCAAATTGTTCAGACCATCAAAGACATAAAAAATGAGGCGCCCACTGTTCCCACAGAGGCCGATCTCTTCACGGCTGACATGATCACAGATGACCAGAAGCCAGGTGAGGAATCGGGCATCACAGGACAAAAACATCCCAATGGTTGTTTTCATACAATACTCTGCTAAAGTTTCAGGAGTAAGAAGTCCAGCCAGCATGCTTTAAAATGACAGAACAATTTAATAAATCTGTAAAAACTGTTGACGGTGTGGACCTGCCTGCTTGTGCATTTTTAGATGTGAAGCTGATGAAGGTGAAAAAGGAGTATGGAGGAGAGGAGGCCTCCTACAGCAGCAGCAGCAGCTCTGAGGAGGAGGAGGAAGAAAAGTACGACTCTAACCTGGACCTGGAGGCAGACTTCCCTCAAGGTAAATGCCTGGACTTCATCCACGCCTCCACCTGACTGCAGTGGAAAACTGCTGCCATAATGTTACAGGACTTGAATATTCAATGAAGATCGTTGTATAGAGGCTCTGATGTTCAAAGCTCGTTTATTTTGTGATCTTTTTTGTTTTTGAACATCACAGCAGCAAACAAATTAAAGCAGAAATAACAAAACATTTATTGTAATGCTTATAATAATCCTCCTCCTTCCTGAGGCCACTCGTTATTGTTCACTCCCTCTTATTGAGTCACTTATTTGTCTGCTGACAATAAACTGAAGCTTAGACATTTCATTTATTTTATATTTTTCTTTTTTTGTTTTAATTCAACCCTTATTTATAAAGATTAGTCTCATTGAGCCACGAGAACTCGTTCAATTCAGTTTATTTCTAAAGCTCCAAGTCACAACAGAAGTCGTCTCAGGGACTGAACAGAAACATTCATGTATAAAATAATAATTAACATTATTCATCTGAGGAGCAGCTTTGAGTTTAACTCCATCACAGAACTCTCATCTTGAACAAGCATGAAGGCGACAGTGAAAGAAAAACTCCCTCATGAGGAAGAAACCTTTAGCAGAACCAGGATCAGGACAAGAGGACCATCTGCTTCGACCAGCTGGGTTTGGTAGGAATAGATACACAATGGCAGGTCAAGAATCACATGTTAAGATAGAAATAGTATCAAATGAAAACTATTCAGTTTTAACAATTCATTTAAGACAATTAGGTCAGTTTGTCCTCTAGTAGTCTAAGTCTATAGCAGCATAACAAGCCGACCCTAACTATAGGATTTAGGAAAAAGGAAAGTCTTAGTCCTAGTTTTAAAACTGGACAATGTGTCAGCCTCATGGACAGAAACTGGAAGTTGGTTCCACAAGAGAGGAGCCTGAGAACTGGAAGATCTTCCTCCCATTCTGTTTTTGTAAATTCTAGGAACCACAAGTAAACCTGCAGTCTGAGAGTGAAGTGCTCTGTTAGTAAAATATGGAACAATAAGATCTGTAATATAAGATGGAGCTAGGTCGTTGAGAGTTTTGTAGGTTAGAAGTAAGATTTTGAATTCTATTCTGGATTTGACAGGGAGCCAATGGAGAGAAGCTAAAACTGGAGAGAGATGATCTCTCCCAGTAACTCCAGTTAAGACTCTGGCAGCAGCATTTTGGATCAACAGAAGACGTTTTAAAGAAGTATTTGGACATCCAGATAATAAACCACTGCAATAGTCCAGTCTAGACGTGACAAATGCATGGACCAGTTTTTCTGCATCATCTTTAGATCAGATGTTTCTAATGTTAGTGATATTACACAGGTGGAAGAAGGAGGTTCTAGTAACGTTTTTAATGTGGGGGATAAAAGACATGTCCTGATCAAAAATAACACCAAGATTTTTAACATTAGAACTGCAGGACAGATTAATGCATCTAAGGAGGGAGAAAGACTGAAAAATTAATTCCTAAGGTGCTCAGGTCCAAAAACCAAAACCTCAGTCTTGTCTGTTCAACAGGAGAAAATTAAGGGTCATCCAGGTTTTTATGTCTTTAAGACATGCTTGTAGTCTAAGTAGCTGATATGATTCATTGGGTTTAATGGACAAATATAATTGTGTGTCATCAGCATAACAATGGAAATTTATCTCATGCTGTTTAATAACTTTACCTAATGGAAGCATAAATAAAGTAAAGAGTATTGGCCCAAGCACTGAACCCTGAGGAACTCCATGACTAACTTTGCTGTATGAAGAAGATTTATTATTTACATTTACAAACTGGAATCTATCAGATAGATATGATTTAAACCATTTTAGAGCTGTTCCTGTATTCCCAATATCATATTCAAGCCTCTGTAGTAAAATATTGTGATCAACTGTATCAAATGCAGTGCTGAGGTCTAACAGGACCAGTATAGACACAAGTCCATTGTCTGAGGCCATGAGAATATCATTAGTGACTTTTACTAGTGCTGTTTCTGTGCTATGATGAGCTCTAAACCCTGACTGAAACTCTTCAAACAGATTATTTCTTTGTAGATGTTCACACAACTGACCTGCAACTATTTTCTCTAGAATTTTTGAGATGAAAGTTAGATTAGATATACAGGTCCTTCTCAAAAAATTAGCATATTGTGATAAAGGTCATTATTTTCCATAATGTAATGATAAAAATGAAACTTTCATATATTTCAGATTCATTGCACACCAACTGAAATATTTCAGGTCTTTAATTGTTTTAATACTGATGATTATGACATACAGCTCATGAAAACCCAAAATGCCGGTCCCAAAAAATTAGCATATTTCATCCCACCAATGAAAGACAAGTGTTTTTAATACAAAAAACACCAACCTTCAAATAATCATGTTCAGTTATGCACTCAATACTTGGTCGGGAATCCTTTTGCATGAATGACTGCTTCAATGCGGCGTGGCATGGAGGCAATCAGCCTGTGGCACTGCTGAGGTGTTATGGAGGCCCAGGGTGCTTCGATAGCGGCCTTAAGCTCATCCAGAGTGTTGGGTCTTGCGTCTCTCAACTTTCTCTTCACAATATCCCACAGGTTCTCTATGGGGTTCAGGTCAGGAGAGTTGGCAGGCCAATTGAGCACAGTAATACCATGGTCAGTAAACCATTTACCAGTGGTTTTGGCACTGTGAGCAGGTGCCAGGTCGTGCTGAAAAATGAAATCTTCATCTCCATAAAGCTTTTCAGCAGATGGAAGCATGAAGTGCTCCAAAATCTCCTGATAGCTAGCTGCATTGACCCTGCCCTTGATAAAACACAGTGGACCAACACCAGCAGATGACATGGCACCCCAGTGACTGTGGAAACTTGACACTGGACCTCAAGCAATGTGGATTCTGTGTCTCCTCTCTTCCTCCAGACTCTGGGACCTTGATTTCCAAAGGAAATGTAACATTTACTGTAATCAGAGAACATAACTTTGGACCACTCAGCAGCAGTCCCAGGCGAGATGCTTCTGACGCAGTCTCTTGTTCAAAAGTGGCTTGACCTGGGGAATGCGGCACCTGTAGCCCATTTCCTGCACACGCCTGTGCACGGTGGCTCTGGATGTTTCTACTCCAGACTCAGTCCACTGCTTCCGCAGGTCCCCCAAGGTCTGGAATCGGCCCTTCTCCACAATCCTCCTCAGGGTCCGGTCACCTCTTCTCGTTGTGCAGCGTTTTCTGCCACACTTTTCCCTTCCCACAGACTTCCCACTGAGGTGCCTTGATACAGCACTCTGGGAACAGACTATTCGTTCAGCAATTTCTTTCTGTGTCTTACCCTCTTGCTTGAGGGTGTCAATGATGGCCTTCTGGACAGCAGTCAGGTCGGCAGTCTTACCCATGATTGTGGTTTTGAGTAATGAACAAGGCTGGGAGTTTTTAAAAGCCTCAGGAATCTTTTGCAGGTGTTTAGAGTTGCGTCGTTGATTCAGATGGTTAGGTTAATAGCTTGTTTAGAGAACCTTTTCATGATATGCTAATTTTTTGAGACAGGCATTTTGTGTTTTCATGAGCTGTATGTCATAATCATCAGTATTAAAACAATTAAAGACCTGAAATATTTCAGTTGGTGTGCAATGAATCTGAAATATATGAAAGTTTCATTTTTATCATTACATTATGGAAAATAATGACCTTTATCACAATATGCTAATTTTTTGAGAAGTACCTGTAGGTCTATAGTTGGCCAGAATTTCTGAATCAAGATCAGACTTCTTAAGTAATGGTTTAATTACAGCAACCTTAAAGCTCTGTGGTACAAAACCATTCATTAAAGACAAATTAAGTAGATCCAAAATGTGGACATTAATTAGTGGAAATACCTCTTTAAACAGTCTGGTTGGGATGGGATCTAGCAGGCATGTGGATGGTTTGGATGAGGTTATTATTTTTGACAATTCAGAGCTCAACAGGACAAAAACTGTCCAAACATAAATCAGGCTCCAGTGAAATTTTTAAAGTTGCCTCATTTGACAGGGGACTAGAGATTGTAGAAGGAAGGATGGTTTGAATTTTCTCTCTAATTGAAATAATTTTATTTTTAAAGAATCTCATGAAGTCATCACTACTTATAGTTGTAGGGATACATGGTTCAACAGAAATGGGACTTTTAATTAGTCTAGCAATAGTACTAAACAGAAACCTAGGGTTATTTTTATTCTCCTCTATTAAAGATGAGTAATATGAAGTTCTAGCTTTACGGAGAGCTTTTTTATATGTTAGCAGACTATCTTTCCAAGTTAAATAAAATTCTTCAACATTAGTAGAGCGCCATTTTCTCTCCTGGTTTCTAGATGCTGCTTTAAAGTACGTAACTCAGAATTGAACCAAGAAGCCAGTTTCCTCTGATTGATTACTTTCTTTTTCAGTGGATCAATTTTATCAAGTGAAGTTTGCATTGAAGTCGTAAGATGATCAACTAGATGATCTATGTCTCTGTTCTCTGATGCATTACTCTGCAAGACAGAGGAAAACATTGATGGAAGAGATTGTTTCAATTTGGTTACAGCATTTTCTGATAAGCACCTGCTGAGATGAAATTTACTCTTAGTGACTTTGTACAAGAGAGACCTGTTTTAAACAAAGAACACAGATGAAGTACAGAAACACTAGACAATCATATAAAAAGCATATAAAATGAAAAATATATGGAAGAAATTTAATAAAAACGAAACAAAAAAAATAGATTGTAAGGCAGTGTAGAAAACTAAAAACAGGAACGTCGGCGTTGGTTTTTGCCATGAATTTAGTAAATGTTTAAACTCCGAGAGGTCAAGGTCGAGAGCTTCATGTCTTTTTACAAGATATTCCAGGAAACAGGAGTGGAGTAGGAGAAGGTCCTTTTGTCTAGTTCAGTCCTCACTGAGGGAACACTGCAGGTAATAATGTCCTGAGAGCGCACGCTGTAGCTGCACTCACGCAGAGACATGTAGGAGGAGATGAATGCGTCTGTGAAGTAACTGTTTGGTTTCTCCACTATAGAGGTCTGGACAGTCCTCGCTGCACTGAACTGCAGACACCACACCACTCTGTTTGTGTTTGGGTGGTGGACCAGCCTCTGTCTTGAGAGTCCTGTTGGGTTTGAAATGGACTGGGATGTTGTGTTTGGAGAAAATCCTTCTGAGTGTCTCTGATACTCCAGCAACATGGAGTATCAGAGACACTCAAAGCCAACAGGACGCTCAGACAGAGGCTGGCACCCTAAGAACAAAACACCCCTCCACTTAGATTTCTCTGACAATAAAGAACGTATGTCTGGGTTTGTTGTGGCAACATTTCTGCATGTGTTGACTCAAAAACATGAATAGATTTTACAAATGTGTTAAACCTCAGCCTCAGACCCCGTCCCAGTGCTGGAAGGAATGGAGGAGGACCTGGGCTTTTCTCTGCCTCCAGTTCTGACAGAAGACCAGGAGGAGCAGGATGAGTTGACTCCTCGACCACAGCCCAGGAGACTTGTACGTCCTCGCAGACAAAGATAACTTACTCATCAGCTCAGCTTGATCTCAGCTTGAAAATGATCTACTTGTTTTGCAGGGCAATAAACGACAGGCAGTGGAGGATTTAGCTTCCTTCACCTCTTCACATCCTTGTAGCAATACGTCAGAGAAACGGTCTCTGCCTCTCAGAGCTCGTTATGGCGTCAATGCCTGGAAACGCTGGGCTCTGTCTTTCACTGATAAATCTGAAGACACCAAAGTAAAGGACCGCACCAAACCAAGTAAGCTAAACCCCACTGACCTGACAATAATGTGTAATTGTGCACTTCTGTGATGGAGACACAAACTGAATGCTGTCTAACCACAGCTGGCATTGGTCTCCATCTCTTGCAGTGCGGCCTAAAAGTAACCTGCTGTCACTGAGTTCAGAGGAGCTCAATGTGGCGCTGTCCCAGTTCATTAAAGAGGTCTGCAGACCCAACGGGGAGCGCTACTCTCCAGACAGCCTCCTCTACCTCTGTCTGGGGATCCAGCAGGTTGGTACTGACAAAATGAAAACCTGACCCCCCCTCAGGTATTTCATAGGAAGTTTGCAGAAAAGGCCTAAAAGGCCGTGTTTTGTGTTGTCGTCATTTTATTCAGATTAGTCCGACTATATAAGGATTACATACTGAGTGTACATACATTACAGGCTGTAAGGTTGCATGAGAAAAACTTGTAAGCTGCAACCCCCCCCCAAAAAAAAATATATTTTTGTTTATTGTATAAATTAAAATACATTTTATCTTGTACGTTTATATAAATGTTTTATTATTGGAAAAGATACAAAATGATCTAATATGAATGTTTAATCATGTTTTCATTTGTTATATTTTATCTTTTACTGCTAATTTTATGTAAGTGCAAATGCTTTTTAAGTATTTTATTTGTAAATGAAAACAATTGGAACAACTCACTTTTAACCATTTTTGAAAATTTGGCCACTTTATTTGTTCATTATTTTTTGTTATATTTGATGGCTATAAAAAATTAATTTAGAAAAACAATTATTACAGTTTTAATTAAACACTAAAAACATTTGTGTGTACTGAATATATTGTTCACTTTTGTTATTAGTTTGTTTGATAAACCTGATCTTTTTACAGGTAGGAACTAAGTTTAGGGTGAGTGTTTCTAGAGGGACATATATTACTGTTGCACAGTCTGTTTCCCATATGAGGAGCAAAGCATGGCCACAGAGTGGGGCTCACATTTTTCAAAGTCATCAGGTACTAGGAAAAGCGTAAGACTTTAATAATACTTGTGTAAAAAGTTTTCATCAGTTTTGGTGTTTTTTCTTGGATCCACAGTTTTGTCTCTGCTATTATCTTAAAAAATCTCCCAGGGAAGTTGATCATTTGGCACTTGTTTGATTTTGTTAGAAATGGATCTGAATGTGGATTTGATTGTGTCCTTTGATTATATGTTTTGCTGTTCACATCCTGAAATCCAGTGATGATGATTTTTAATATGAGGACACTAAATCTTTCTCTGTGAGCAACCACAGATCATCATTTGTCCTTTTTCCTAATGAGAGGTTTTGTTTTTCAGCATCTTCACGCCAAAGGCAGGAAGGACGACTTGTTCAGTGACCCGAGCTACCAGCAGTTTGGAGACGAGCTGAACAAAGTCCTCAAAGACTGGCAGCCCAGTGTGCTTCCTGACGGTGAGTTCAGCCACACACCCCCGTCTTTTAACTCCGTACGTGTGTGGGACGATTTTCAAGCTAATCAGTGCATTACTTTCAACCAGAAGAGTTGATTTAGGGTTCCTTCAGTCTTAATTTAAAGCATGGAACGTAATGGAAACTGGTTTTAGTATTTTCCAGGTTACAAGTATAGAAAATAATACATTGAAAATGTTTAATATGTAAAAAAAAGTCTAACAGAAAAATAATTTAAAAGAATTTGCTCATCCAACAAGCACACTTTTCCATTTGATCCTATGTGGAAAATAAATAAAGGGTGTTAATTATTTTAAGTCATGCCAAGAAAGAGCAGCACAGATCCATCTTAGCTTTGAGGATGCTGATGAAGTACAGAGAGGGTCAGAAAGAGCTCCATCGTCTTTATGGATTTGGACAAAGCATGACCGGGTGCCCAGGAGGAGGTGTGGTGTTACATGAGGAAATGTGGAGTGGCAGACAAGTACTACAGGACGCACCTGTCTCTGAGCTGCACTGTTAATATAAGATAAATCATGATTTTGTACATAAACAAGACACTCCGGTTATTAAGTTCATGGTCAGGATCTGTGCCCAGCTCCGTCAGCGTGCAGCTTTCTTGTTGTAGTACAAGGACCAGCCAGCAGGTGGAGGCATGTTTTCAACACGTGCTCAGACTGCGTGATGGCCACGAGTCGTCATGAAGCTGCTCTGTCTGACTCATGGTTACAACCATTCAGCCTTCAGAATGAACACTATCTAAGCACAATCACTGGACAGAACGGTGCCAAGCACCTGCGCAACTGAAATTATTTTAAAATTATTTACTGGTAAACATTACCCAGAAGTCTTCTCAAGGTCATGTGACCGGAAGTCAAACAGTACCGGTAAAATGCAGTAAATATTCATTAAATTAGTACCATTGATTTTTATTAAACAGTATTTGCAACAGCTGCTGTTTTTAAAAGTACTTTGTAAATAAATTAGGTGTGATTTCTCAGTGCTGCTCACAGGAGCATCACAGAGGGAGGAAGGAGGAACAGCCCTCCTCCTGTCGTGCTCCTCCATTCTGTGCAGAGCTTAAATGAGATATTTGTATTTAAACACACATTAACTGTACACAAAGTTTTTAAAAAACTTTTATTTAAATATGTCTCAGTGTTGACGAACTGTTTTAAAAATAAATCTGACAACTTGTCCACCGCTCGCTGAGATCTCATGACGGAAAGAGGAGGTGGGAAGACCCCTCCTGGTTCTCCGCTCCGTGTTCAGATGTGACTTTAAATTGAGATCCCGGTATTTAAACACATATTTACTGACACAGAAAGAATTTAAAGCTTTTATTAAAACATGTACCAGGGTAGACTGCTTTGCGTCTCCGATCCTGACCATGGACACGTTGATGCAGCTCACGGCTGCAGCGGTTTCCTCCTCGACAGCCGATCTCTTGTAACATGAAAGCTGCGTCATAAGAAATTCTCCGTGCGTTTTCCGTTATCGCTGAAGTAATGAACAGGTCTGTGCATGAAGCACAACATATTGGAACATCACGGAACGATGTGAAGAAATGGATGCACGTCTGTCTTGGGGGCTGGTCCTGGAGAGTACCTCGTGGGTCATTCAGGTTAGACTTCTGGTCACATGATGACAGAGGGGGTGGAGTTATGGTTGGGTATTTGAAACTCTGAGCAGGAGGTTTGGTACACTGATTACCTGAGGGCATTCACTCTGTCACAAACACCTGCCCCATGAGGGGCGGGGTGCTGGGAGCCATGAGCGCCCAGCTCTGTCAAAGCAAAATGTTGGTCTGCGGCAGGAAGTTAACGAGAGACGGCAGGAAGTCCTTCAAAATAAAATGTATAAATTTAACGTTTGAAAATTATGAAAAAAAATACATAAATAAGATGCTCCTGCATATAAACCACGGGGTATCAAGTCTGAGATGAAGTAGCAGCTTGTACACCAGCAATTACGGTATGTTAGACTGGTACAGGACATGTATGAGGACAGCAGGACATGTATGAGGATGGCAGGACAGTGGTTTGGACATGTCCAGAGGAGGGACAGTGGATATATTGGTAGAAGGATGTCAGAAATGCAGCTGCAGGAAAAAGACCAAGAGGAGATACTTGATGCAGTTAGAGAGGACATGGAGGTAGATGGAGTGAGGACAGAGTGAGATGGAGGAGGACTCGCTGTGGAGACCCCTGAAGAGGGAAAAGCTGGAAGAAGAATAATAAAAATTTCAAATCAAACAGCAAGCCTTTTTAAATGACGAACGTGTAGGAACCCTGAAATCTTTCCAGTCCCACGTGTGCAGTTGGTTTGAGTGTCGCCTGGAACGACGATGCTGCGTCCCTGATGAAAACGACCCCATGAAGTGGCACCTTGGCAGGGTTTGGGGCCGGGTTTGATGTGTTTTCTTGTCAGCAGCAGCTCGGTGCTGGTTCTGTTGCTCTCTTTTAAATGTCCAGTGATTATAACACTTCTGCTGTTCACATCCTGATGCACTGTGATTGCATTTTAAAGTTATATGAGGACATGATTATAATTAAAGTCAACTTCAGTTCTGTGGTGTCACGGTAGCTGTTCTGCTGTCGGAGTGGAAGTTGACGGGTGTCCTGCTGTCTTCAGGCTCTCTGTGGGGCCGAGTGGAGGAGCAGAGTCTGTGGAGCAGTCGGCACCTCGGAGAGCAGAGCCCCGCTGCTCTGCTGCGCTCGCTGGTTTACCTCAACACCAAATACTTTGGCCTGCGCACCGTGGAGCAGCACCTGCGCCTCTCCTTCGCCAACGTTTACGGCCCTGACAGCATCCATCCTGTTACCAAGGAGACGACTGTTCGCATCCGCGTGCCCTCCATCTCTCAGGATCACCACGGTGAGTAGAGCTGGGCATCGTCTGAGTTTGAACGGTTCCACTTCCTGTCGATTCTCGGTTCCAGTTCTCTTTAGAGGCGGGATTAAAGTTTAAAAAAGGGTTTACAGTACTTGGTTTAAATGAGCAGCAGTAGTTAACCAGAGTTCTTTCTGGATGAAATAATTTGAACTTCTGTTTGAATTTTAATTCTATGAACTTTTTACTTTTTGTTAAATTTACTATGAATTTCTCACAGAGCTATTTTCAACCAGTAAATAAATATCAAACTTGTGAACTTCAATATGTTCTGAATTTTCTTGTCACAGGGGTACACCTTCACTAGAGAGTTTTATGTTTGAAAACCTCATGTCCACATGTCCAGTGTGGGATGCTGCAGCCATGTTACTGAGCTCCCACTGATGGACTAACCTGCTGCAGAATATCAAACTAAATTATTATTATTATTATAAAAAAGAAGAACTTGTATAACCCAGTCCAGATTAGCAGCAGGTACAGTATAAAAACCTCAGAAACGGTTCTTGTTGAGGAAAATGATCATCTCTGCTTCTCAGGCAGTGTGTGTGAGTGTTCTGGACAGACAGTGTCTCCTGCAGTGGAGAACATGTCTGAAGGTGCAGAAGAAGCTTGAACACATAAATATGAGAAATCAAGATCTGACAGCAAAGGATGAGTCTTGTGTTGGTTCCAGCAGCAGCAGGTCCTCAGACAGAACGTCTGGTGGAATGTCCTGGTCCATCTGCAGCCCTCTCTCCACTTGTTTCTTCATGGACATGGAGCTGTGACATTATGGTCTGTGCCTCTTCCTCACCAAAAAGCTCCTCCAGTGGAGACTTTCTGGACAGATTACAGGGAGGTGGTTCCTAAACAAACAACAGGTTCATCAGTATTATCAGTAAAACGGGATTATTAAAGGCATGATCATTATTAAGATTGAGAATCTATAATTTCAGCTCTCATACTCTTACACTCTCCTCCTCATCCTCCACTCCCTCATTCTCAGGTCTTTCCTCAGACTGCATGGTGACCCCATGATCTCCACAGTCTTCTTCTGTTGACCATAAAGAACATTACTAGTATTTAGATTTCAGATTTTAAAAGCAGAAAAGGACAGTTGTGAATGACATTTCACCTGCTCAATCATCTTCTCTGGATCTGCTCCCAGACACGTCATCCATCTTCTGTTTAAAGAGCAGAGCAGCTCTTCTCCACCTTATAACAAGATGATTAACTTACTGGACAAGTGGTCTATGGTAGGTGGTGTGTACTTGGGTTGATGGTTTTCACCATGTCCCTGCAAACATATACCGTATTTTCCAGATTAGACGTCACTCTGAAGTATAGGTCGCATCAGGTAAAAAATTCCTCATGAAGATGAAAAAACATATACAAGTTGTTTTGGAGTATAAGTCACATATATTTAGAAGTGTATTTCACAAAGTGCAAGAACAGACATTTAATCTGAAATAACTTTGGGGCGGACTGTCCATCGGGAGCGCTGGGACATTTCCTGGTGGCCTGGCCCGCTCAGTGGTCGCAGAGGGACTGGACTAAAGCTTGGTTCGGGTTGCGCTTTATTATTTTAAATAAATAAGCCACTCTTTCTCAGGCTCACTCATGTCTCAGTGAAGCTGCGCTGAAGCGATGGGGAAAGACGAATACCTCCACTAGAGGATGACATTTTTTCGGGAGAACCGCCGGTCACATGGTTCCGTCCGGATTCCGGCGGGACCGGAGTCAACCTCATAACTCACGTGACCGGGACGTGACCGGACTGAAAGCTAACGGGAGCAGACAGGAGCGGGAACCGACCAATAACCAAAAATGAAAATGAAACAACAAAAAAATCACGGGCGCAGCTATTTTGTAGTTTTCTTTCAGTAAGCCTTCACTTTAACACAAGTCAAAAGGACTACATTTCCCAGGAGTCAAGTGTTCGAGCCGTAGCTTTTCACCGAGAGGGTGGGAGGAGCAACGAAGCGGTACCGAGTAACTGAAAATAGTTTGCAATGCAAGGTAAGAAGTAAGTGTCTGTCTATTAAACTCACAGAACAGGCAGGAAAGTGTCAAATAACCTGAACTTCATGAGAGTTGTGTTGGTGCTGTGCTGCTTTAAACTTTAGTCTCAGCTATGAGGAGCTGCTTTGTTTACCGTCAGTAAATAAACTCAAACAGCACATTTTTCTCCACCTTGTCCCTTTTATTAATTTAAAAATGATGCTCTGCTTTGTTATGTGGGTTTTTAGGTTAAAATCTTCATTATCTGTTGCTGTTTGTAATGTAAAAAACAACAAACTTTTCCTGGTTAAAGTGCACGCATTCTCCGGTACAAATATCACAGTTTTTATATGAAAGGCTGGTTACATATATATTATAATAACTGTTATTGTAGGGGGGACATTGGTGCCAGGTCTGTGGGTCCTCCCCCATAACTTTTTGAATAAAGCAGCTGCTATTTCCTGCATTCTAAGGTATTTTAACAGGTTTAAAACATCTACAGTGAGGAAAATAAGTATTTGAACACCCTGCGACTTTGCACGTTCTCCCACTTAGAAATCATGGAGGGTCTGAATCTTTCATCTCGGGTGCATGTGCACTGTGAGAGACATAATCTAAAAAAAAAATCCAGAAATCACTAAGTATGATTTTTTAATAATTTATTTGTGTGTTACTGCTGCAAATCAGTATTTGAACACCTGTGAACATCAATGTTAATATTTGGTACAGTATCTTTGTTTGCAGTTACAGAGGTCAAAGGTTTCCTGTAGTTCTTCACCAGGTTCACTGCAGCAGAGAGTTTGGACCATTCCTCCACAGATCTTCTCTAGATCAGCAAGTTTCTGGGCTGTCACTGAGAAACAGAGTTTGAGCTCCCTCCAAAGATTTTCTATAGGGTTTAGGTCTGGAGACTGGCTGGTCCACTCCAGAACCTTGATCTGCTTCTTACGGAGCCACTCCTTGGTTCTCCTGGCTGTGTGCTTCGGGTCATTGTCATGTTGAAGACCCAGCCACGACTCATCTTCAATGCTCTCACTGAGGGGAGGAGGTTGTTCCACAAAATCTCTCAACACATGGCCCCGGTCATCCTCTCCTTAATACAGTGCAGTCGTCCTGTCCCATGTGCAGAAAAACACCCCAAAGCATGATGCTTCCACCCCCATGCTTCACAGTAGGGATGGTGTTTTGGGATGGTGCTCATCATTCTTCGTCCTCCAAACACGTCGAGTGGAATTAAGACCAAAAAGTTCTATTTTGGTCTCATCTGACCACAGAACTTTCTCCCATGACTCCTCTGGATCATCCAAATGGTCCTGGTCAAACTTAAGACGGGCCTGGACGTGTGCTGATTTAAACAGAGGAACCTTCCGGCCCATGCATGATTTTAAACTATGATGTCTTAGTGTATTACCCACAGTAACCATGGAAACAGTGGTGCCAGCTCTCTTCAGGTCATGGACCAGCTCCTCCCTTGTAGTTCTGGGCTGATTCTTCACCTTTCTTAGGATCATTGATACGCCACCAGGTGAGATCTTGCATGGAGCCCCAGTCCGAGGGAGATTGACAGTCATGTTTAGCTTCTTCCATTTTCTAATAGTTGCTCCAACAGTTGATCTTTTTTCACCAAGCTGCTTGGTAGTTGCCTCGTAGCTCTTTCCAGCCTTGTGGAGGTCTACAATTTAGTCTCTGGTGTCTTTGGACAGCTCTTTGGTCTTAGCCATGTTAGTAGTTGGAGTCTTACTGATTGTGTGGGGTGGACAGGTGTCTTTATGCAGCTACCGACCTCAAACAGGTGCTTCTAATTTAGAATAATAAGTGGAGTGGAGGTGGACGTTATAGAGGTGGACTAACAGGTCTTTGAGGGACAGAACTGTTGCTGATTGGCAGGTGTTCAAATACTTATTTTCAGCAGTATCACACAAATAAATTATTTAAAAATCATACATTGTGAGTTCTGGATTTTTCTTTTAGATCATGTCTCTCACAGTGGACATGCACCTAAGATGAAAATTTCAGACCCTCCATGATTTCTAAGTGGGAGAACTTGCAAAGTCGCAGGGTGTTCAAATACTTATTTTCCTCACTGTATGTTTACCTATATAAGTAAATACTTTATTCAATAACTGTTTTATAAAGCATGGCACAAGAAGTAGCACTAAGCTTTTTGTTTGTCTTTAATTTAATTTAATTTTTCTACCTAACACAGGAAGCTGTTAGCTCTGGAAGCAAGCTGTTAAACAGATTTGGACACAAAGACCCTTGTCACACACTTCAACAGAGCAGGTAAGATACATAACATCTTGTAATCTCCACCTGGTGAGGCTCATTAAATAATTATAAAATATGATAAGTGAAATAAATAAAGAAAAATTGAGCTTCTGTAATTTATATTTGCAAATGTCACATTTTCTAGACTTAGTGTCAATTGTAAATCTCTTGTTTTTGATAAAATATTTTTGACAAAAGAAAGGCCAACAGATTGTAATTTGTAGTCACTGTGACACTATTTTGACTCGTGCACGTCTTCTGTCACTTTTAGGTTCCACAAGGCTCTGGACTGGTCCAGCTGTGGAGAGATGAGGTGGAACACCAGACCTGCAATGGTCCAGTCTGTAAATGATGCTCTGAAGTCTGGGAAGATGCACGACATCATGCTTCACCCAAACGAGCTCGTTACCTCGACCACACACACTGAACTTCTGGAGGACGTCGTCCAGTGGATAATAACGCCTTTAAACATTTTTATTTGTTGACTTCTCTGCTTGGTACATTATTTTTCTTTTTTTGTTTGTCTGTTTAAACAATTTAAAACATGACAGTGATGTCACTGTTTAAAGGAAACAACTGCTCAATAAATTAGTAAAATTCAACTTGTTCTGTTTGGGTTCTTTCATCTAAGGTAGACATGGTGTGACCCATGGACTGGTTTAGATTTTTTGTTTTTACTGTAACTGACCTTCAAAAGAGCCAGAAACAGACTCAGCAGCTGATCCTCTGTAGAAACA